CTGCTTCCTGAGCCCTAAAACACCGAAGGTGGTGTGCTGCCTGGGAGCCTTCATGATGAATGCTCAGCGAAGTGTGCCTATGTTCTGCCTGCGCCCTGCTGTAATTTGTTTATCTGTCCAAAGATTATGCAGTTGAAAATCTACAATTTTATGCTGCCTTTGTAAATTACCACACTGCGTTTGATGAATGTTTCCCCACTTCCGCAGAGGCGGCTTTATGCTCATGAAAGATTGGGAAGTGTTCGTGCATGCGGTGCTGAAGGTTATGTTTTTATACTTTCTGGCAGGCGACCATGTTGGAAAGTAAATCTGACCTTAAGCTTCCTACTGCATTAAAGATAATTCAGTTTTAACTTTATAGTCTCAGAAGCTTCAGCTGCCGATATAAAACTTCAGCCCAGTCAAAGCTGACTGATTACCAGCAACAAAGCCTTTACCATCGCATCCAAAATATAAAACATGTGCCAGCCTTGAGCCGCTGCAGGGGTGAAATAAGCATGCGCAAAGCAGATAATTAGTATGTATACAATGCTTTGTGCAATATGTGGAATTCAGTGTGTTCGCATGTGTAGAGTTCTAGGTTAATACAGCAGACTGTCATAAACAAATGTAAATAGGGAAAATGGGAAATAGATGAGCTGCTTCAATCAGCAGGGCACCCATGAAAGAAAGTTCAGAGAGGCACTAATTGCAGTGAGCAGGGGCCCTGTGCCTCCTGCAGTGAGCTAGTAGCACACAAGAGCATTAGAAAGAGAACTGGAGGAATCCTAACTCTTCTGACCCTGTCTACCATGTCAACTCTGTCCTAGTATGAGGGTCTCACCGAACAAAAGAGGTAGGCCAGAGTAGTGAGGTATTGTAAAACCAACTGGTATTCTCCCATAGCTGGCCCCTTCCTCCTGGGAACCCTCAGGAGGGCCTGAACCACTCAGCAAAGGGATCAGGGCAGGTGGTATTGGTTCATTCACAGTACCTTCCTTCTACCCAGGACACCCCGACCCCCTGCCTGTCTGTCATTCCTTGGCAGGATAATGGGATACCCCAGCCTGCCCACATCATCCTCTCTCTGTTTGCTTCTAGTCGGAGAGTGAGGAGAAGGTTGTCACTTACGACCACATCGGGCCCAACGTCTGCATGGGAGACCACAAGGTGATGTGTGTGCACTGCAGTTTAGGGGCTGGATGGCCAGTGGGTGGGCAGCAAGCCGGCAGGCTCTCATTTCCTTAATCTGGCTTTACAGAATATGCCAAATTATTCTCATTTAATTTTAATAAAATACTGAAAGATAGTTAAATGGGTAGGAGGGAAGCAGAAACAACTAGTATCATAGAACAAAATGCTATTTGTACTATTTATTTAAAAAAAAAAAGGTTTTGTCTACAACTGGTTATTTTTGAAGGCCATTTCTCAAGTATGCATTTAGAATAATTTCATGACCTTCTTAGGCCAAGCTCACATTCATTAGACAAAGTAGGGATGAACTCATCCAGTCCTGGTGGACTCAGGGACAGACTCTACTGAGCTGAAAAGATTATTTACACATGTGTAGCCAATTAGATGAACCCATTTTCTCTACATTCAAGGCCTCTTGAATTCATTTCCTGGGCTTACATGCCCAGGACATTTGGGACTGACTAGCAACTCCTCAAATCAGTGTTTATGCTCATTTGTATCTTAAACAACTCCTTCGTTACTAGCAGAAGGGGGCTGTTGCAGTCCTTTTGTGGCCCTGCCTCTGTATTCCAAGTCCAGGCTAACAGCCCCAGACTTTGCTCTGCACACGTGATTTAGCAGCATACCCTCTGGACATGGTTCCTGCCCCCAGGAGACTTCAGGGCCAGGGAACTGAGGGGATGCTGCCGCAGCATGCCAACTGACACCCTCCCTTCTCCCTACTGCAGCCTGTATTCCTGGCCTTCCGAATCGCGCCTGGGGCAGGTAAACCTCATGCACATGTGCACAAGTGTTGTGTCGTGCAGTGACGTGGTGGTAAATATGACTCCTTCCCTTAGTCCTTTTCTTCAGCTTTTCCTGGTGTGTTTGTTCCTTTAACAAATTACTAATTCTACTTCAGGGAAGAGGTGCCAGCGCAATGAGAGGACCCTCTTCGAGACCTCCCTGTAGCAGCATATTGAAACTCGTACTCCTAACGGCTGCATCAGAAACCTGCCCAAGCACCACCTGCTAGATGGCCGGCCCCACACTTCGCTTCAGCTCCGGACCATTCCGGAAAAGCCTCACATACCTCACTGTTGTGTCTGTTCATGTGACATTAAGTAGAAATATTGGGTTTTTTTAAAGACAAGTCACAGTCCTGTTGCCAAAACTGATAGCAAGGAGATTCTGTATTTTAGATTTCACAGTTTTCCATTTTTAATAATTGTCTGTGGAGGAGCGTCTCCAGCATAGAAACCCCAAGGTGTTAAGCGTCCCTCTCTGCCAGGAGAAGTTGTGCCTGGGCCACCGTGTCCAACCTGAGGCCCCTCCATGGTCTAACTCTACTGCCATGTTACATGGTGTCTGAATCACACTGCAGCTGCTTTCCATTTTTATATATATAAATACATATAAATATATACTTTTTAAAAATAATTTATAAATCTTACCAAAACTTATGCTAAATATACTTTCCAGTATGAATGCACGAGTGTCATATCAGCAGGTAGAACTGCGGTCTAGGAGTTTAGTGCTGTGTATGTTAGCACACCAGTTCCCGAGGCAGCATGTACCTAGCAGTGCTGTGGGGCAAGAGTGGCCCCTCTGCACTTGTGTACTAGCAGTTGCCACTCCTCCGCCTTTCTGTGTAACCCTAAGAACCGAATGTGAAGTTTATAGTTAGCCTGGGTATACCTTTTAAGAACTTTGTAAACTGTTTTGTCTGTCTTTTGTTACCGTTTTATGGTGCCAATATTCTCCATTAAAACCATAATCCCGTGGGAGAATTAGAAATAGCCTCGTCTGCTCCCCACAGAGACTGCTTCTAATGCAAGCTGTATAAAACAGGGAAGAGAAGCAGCACTGGGCTGCACTCTGCGGATGCCAGTGTGACTCTCCTGTTGCCAACAACACTCTGCTCCCAGCACTGAGCACAGCGTCGGAAGGTGACTGCAGAGCCTGTTGACGAAACACAAGCGTGCGCTTTATTGATTTACTTCAGAACACTACAGTTCCTGGACTGCAAAGGCATGAGATCGATGTTTGTTTTTATAGAAATCACTACTGTCTGGAGACGTTTGGTGTCCGAGTGCCGACCTGTGTTCTTGACGCTACGCTGGTCGGGGTCTCTGTTAAGTGCTGTGGTCGATGCTTGTCAACATGCCACATCGCAGCCACCGTGTGGTGATTCTGTCTGTGGGCTTCAGCTGTGGGTCATTCCGAAGGCCTTTGGAAGTGACTGCTCGGTTCCTAAGCAATAAAATTGATCATGGTGAAAACAGTTCTTTGCTGGCTTTGTTTTCTTTCCTTCCCAGTTCCCATCACCTTTGAAATGCTAAGTAATGGGAGTGGCCTCCTTTGTGCCCTGTTGTTTGCTGTGAGCTCATTGCTAATCCTGGAATTTCACTGTCACATACTGTCACAGGCATTCCTCTTGTTGGGAGTAGAAAATAATTGTTTGGACTTTTTACTATAGTAAAATAAGACTTGTTCCTCCCCCCCTTCTAATGGGATTATATAAAAGCTTTCCTCAAAACTTTAAAACTGGACATGCCTCTGCTCTTTAAGCTGACAGAATGGTTCCCTCACAGCATGACGCTCCAAGCCTTTAAAAATTTAAGTAGCTCCTTTTTAAAGAAAATTTGCCAGTAGCTCAAAAGAAGTGAGAAGTGTTTCTTTAAACTAGTACAGCAAAACTAGTGATTAAAAACAAAAACAAAATGTAAGTCTTTTATGTTTCTCTGAAATGTTTTTGAACGTTCCAAGAGAAATCTTGTAATTGTAGTAATATAATTGTTTACACACAATAACATGAAATTAAAACATTGGAACCCCTTAAGATACACCTGTGGAACATCAGCGAGAGTCTGACCACAGCAGATTGGCCTTTAGTAATTAAATGGGTGCCCTTTATAGCTGGCACGCATACTGCATGGTAAGGATACCGCTCATGGTGAGGAACAGTGTCTGTGGTAAAGGCTGGAAAGCCATGCTAGGATGGTTCAGCGTGGAGATTTGAGAGCTGGCCCTTATCAGGCACAGTTATTTTGAATTTCTCTTTGCAATTCTAGCTCGAACGACAGTATTCTCTGGCAATGAAAAATCTATTAATGTAGTAGCCAAAGGAGGAGGATGATGAATCTCAACCTCAATTTCACCCGATGTTCCTTTAGTAAGCATATTCGAAATACTTAATATTCTGGCTAAAGGGTTTTTAAAAATAATCATCTCACAATGCCTGCACCCAAGGCAGAAAACACAGAGGCGGAGCCGACTTGGCTTGAAGCTCTGAGACAGCGGATCAGAGGAACTGGGCCCCGGGCTCCAAAAAGGAAAAAGTGCATCACAAGGTGCTGGGTGTGGGCGGGCAGCCTTTTGGAAAACCACAGTTCATCCGAACCAACGCAAGTGAGGACGCCTTGCATGGCGCATCGCCTGTCTCCGGCCGCATGAGGTGGAATCTGTACCTGCCGCGGGGCCACGCCTGATGAGCGTCGGTATCTGTGCCACTCCGCCTTGCGCCTCTTGCTGTGTGGCTCCGTCCCTTCTGCGCGCCGCCCGAAGTTGCGGGCCTGGTCGCCCTCCCTGCGCACGTGCTCGAGTGTCGCGGGTCTGGCAGTCTTCCGAACTCCCAGGCACCGGCAGAGCCCCCAGCCTCAGACCTAGGTTCGCATACCAGGCCCGGGTCCATCGCGCGCTGCGCCGAGCACTCCAGCGCCGCGCCCAGGCGCCAGGCTGGGAGAACAGACGGGACAGTGGCAGGAGAGAACGGGCTGCCCTCAGGCGTCTCGCTCGGTGCAGAAAAAACACGCGGTGCAGCCTCGGGAGCCGTGGCTCCGACCGGGACGTGTTAAATAATTTATTGATTATACAAAGTGATCCGCCCACCCCACGCCTACGGGAAGGGTTGCCACCGGACCCCGCACGTCGCGCCCGAGCCGAGCCGCTTTATAACTTATTCTGTAAAAAATATATATACACACTGCGGCGCGGAGGCTGGCATCGGGGGCCCGGCCGCGCCCGGTACCCTGGTTTTGTGGCCTGGCCGTGCCTCACAAGGTTTCCCCCGCGCCACCGCCGCACGGGCTGACCAGCGCTAAGTTCGAGGGTTTGTGCTTCTTGAGCAGCCGCGTGATCTTCTCGTCGTCAGAGTTGGGGTCGAGGGGCCGGTTGTACTCGTCATCGTCCTCTGCGTCGGAGCCGCCCACTTTCAGCTTCTCTGCGTCCGAATCTTGCTTCTTCTTGGCCGAAGCCATCTCTGCCGCGTGCCTCTTACGCCACTTGGTCCGCCGGTTCTGGAACCACACCTGGGGTGGAGGGGAATCATCAGACGGGCCTCTGAAGCTCCCAGCCCTGTACCTCACTGTCTCTCTCGGAGGCCCAGCGCTGACCCTGCCGTCTGCAACCGCAGACCCGCCCGGCCGGCCGCCTGCCAGAGGCTGGGCGGCTGCTCGCCAGCCCTTCGCAGGACGCGGGCTCCCGAGCCAACCCCAGCCGCCTAGGATCCCGCGGAGACTGCCCCGGTTGCGCTCACCTTCACCTGGCTCTCAGTCATGCCCAGAGAGTAGGCGAGCCGTGCGCGCTCCGGGCCCGCCAGGTACTTGGTCTGCTCGAAGGTCTTCTCCAGCGCGAAGATCTGCTGGCCCGAGAAAGTCGGCCGCGAGTGCTTCTTCTTGCCGTCCTTGTCCAGGACCCCGGTGCCTTGGGCTGTGAAGGAGGGTGAATGAGCGCCCGGCGCCGCACCACCAGTCCGCCCACGCCGAACCCCGCGTAGATCACTTACCCGGGCCGGCCAGGCGCGGGTCCCTCCAAGGCGAGCCCTGCACCACGCCGGGCCAGAAGATGGGCGGGCGCCCAGGCAACTCGGCCAGTGGCTTAGGATAGCCACGCGCCACGGCGGCTGCGGGTCCAAAGTAGACGCCCGCAGACGAGGCTAGCCCGTTGAGGCGGGGCAGGCCACCCAAGAGGCCACCACCCGCAGTGCCCACTGGTCGCCCCAGAATGTCGCTGATGCCGTGCGGCGTGCCAAGAGGCAACTGCGCCCCTAGGCCGCTCAATGCAGGCGCTTTGAAGCCGGCAGGACCCTGCAGCGCGTAGGGGAACAGCGAGGTCTTCATCTCGGCCATGTTGTGCAGCGCAGCCAGTGGCGCGCTGCTAAGCACGAACGCGCCCGGGCGGTTAGCGTCCATGGGCGCCGTCGCCGCGGGTCAGGGTGCCCATCCGGGCCCCGCCGCGGTAGCCCGCGCCCGCCGACCGGGGAAGTTTGCGCGCGGCGCGAGCGGGCGCCGGCTGCAGTGGGGGAGGCGCGGCGGGCGGGCACTGACGGCCCAGGCGGACGGGCGGGTGGCTCAGGTGCGGTCTAGGGTGCAGTGTGAGAAACCACAAAGCTTCGGGCTGCAGAGACTACTCCGGGGCCGGTCGGAGCAGCGTCGCGCGGGACAGAAGCGCTGATAACAGTGGGGCCCTGGCGCGGCGCGCGCACTGATTGGCTCTGAGCGCCCGCGGCCAGGCCATTGGCCAGCGCCCCGCCCGTCTGCGCGCGCCCCGCGGGCTGCGCACTCCATGAAGGGCCCATTAGCGCGGCAGGTGCCTCCCTGGTTGTAAATTTGCCCCCTGATTTATCTCCCCAGGGACGAAATAAATCCCATTGGATGGGAGTTTAGTTAGGCAAAGAGTTTAATGGGAAATCAGGAAAAAAATATGACAACATATTTTATAGCCCGAAAGAACGTAGATTTGAAGATCCAAGCAGCACGCTTAGTGAAGCCCTGTTAGGGAAAAAACCCTGGCCCACCGGCCACCCTAGGTCAGTGGGCGCCGTGGGAACCACGGCCCTCGTTTCTCCCCGCTGTTTCTTGGCCTGCCTGAGGTTAGTACATTATGCGCGAACACTTGTGGATACAGCTGTCTTGATAAGTCCGGAAAGCAGGAGGGCAAAGGAGTTTTCGGGTTCAATGGTTAGACTTGGCCAGAGCGATTGGACTTCTGGTCTCACCAGCCCGGGTGGCTGCGAGGCAAGGCCAGCGATACAGGAGCCCGCGTGTGCGGCCCCTTATTGCTCACACAGCCAGACAGTTTCCGGTTCCCCTGACTGAATCTCGGGACGCAGCAATTGATCAGGGACCTCTAGTTGGAACCTTGCGATCGAGGTGGTCACAGTCTCCTCTTGGAATTACCTAGGAACTTACTGTGCAATTCAGGCCACCCCCCCCACACACACACACACATCCACAGTCGGTTCTCTCGAGTAGCAGCGCGGGCAGGACGAACAAGGACCCCGCAGATCCTGCAGGCAGGTCCAGGACTCTTAGGAAGCCGCGTTTAGGGCCTTAACAAGAGTGAGCACTTGAAACGCCAGGAGTAGGACACAAGTGCTATGTCCGTGCGTGGGGCACATGTGAACCCAAAGTCCTCCTCAAGGTAAAAGAACCCCACCCTAAAGAACTCCCGGAGAGTGAAATAGATTGTAGTCACCCCTGAGCCATGCTCAGGGCAGGCTTTGCAAGGTTGGTCGCTGCGAGGAGTTGTAGCTTTCCTCCTCTTGGCTCCCCATACTGATTTAGTAATAGGAAGTGGCTAAATACCATTACCAGCTGCCCATAAGGGAGTCTTGATCCCGACGTGTGCAGGGGGATGGCGGTTTCAGGGCGGGGTAGGGGATCCGAGCTGGAGGCTAAGTGCTCAAGATCCGCCTCTTTTGCGCCTGGGAACAGTTGGATTTTGGCAACAACTTTTCCATTTCGCCCTCCACCTCGTCCACCAGGATGGTGGAGTCAAGGAAGAAAGTAACTTTTGGGGTTCCGTACAGGGACCAAGTGTTCGCTCCTGCTGCTCCCTCCCAGAGTGCTTTTTCATTTTGTGCAGTTAGCGGCAAGAGCTACGGGTGGTCGAAGTTTGGAAAGCCATTTGTGATTGGAGCTGAGCAGGAGTTCTGTTGTCCCTGACTCGGGCGGGCGCGCACGGTGCAGCCCCGTCTGCGCTGCTTGGCGCGTAGATCCCACGCTATGAGGTGCGGTCCCCTGCATGGGAGTTTTATTATCCTGGCTAGTTGGGCCAGGTCAGCCCGCTAGGGATTCTGTTGGGCGCTATGGCATCGCTGGCGATCAGCCCTCGCAAAGCTAGGCTCAGGGCACCGAAAGCACCTTCTTAGGGATCTCCGAATTGCCAGTGACACTGGGTCTTCCTGGCCCTGAGACCTGCCTTTGGCCTCGCAAGCGCCTCACTTCCTCAGAGAAAATACATGTCACGTGTGTTCCGAGAGTCTGGCCACTCGGAGGACCCCTCCAGATGAGGTTCGATCCCTCTTGGGCTTCCAGGAGGTGACGACATGAAAGGTTAAGATTCACATTCTGCGGAAGGAAGGCCAGGAGCTGTGGGTTTCGGGCGGGGCTACGATGGGGCGGGGCTGAGTGGGAGTGGCCGTTCTCCAGCACCCAAACTCCTTCCGCTCCAGTTACCCGACCCTCAGCCACGGCTGCTGCCTGTCTAGCTGGAAGAAGTGCAGGTTGCCCGAATAGGAGCCTAGAGAGGCACGCGGGACGGGATAATAGATTTGTGCTATCCTCTCCCGAGCTGGTCTCGGATCGGAGACATGCCACAGCTTTGGGCTCCGCGCTTTGGACTGCTCTCCCAGTCCAATCGGGGTCTCGTTAAGAGCCATTTTACTGCGGAGGAAATAAGAGACCTCCAGTGATTTCCTTGAACCTTTGCGACTCTGGTCTGTGTATTCAGGTAGTCCCTGGGTTGCGGCTGGAAAGGGTTGCGACAGGGTCGCCGATGGTACAGCGGTCACACTAAGTACGAAATGTGCAGCTCTGCAGGCGGTCAAAGGCCATCGGTGTGGTAAGGGGCGAGTGTGCTGAGAAGTGAGAGTGAGGGATGGAGCGGCAGTTGGTGTAAAATGGGGCGCCCAAGGCTCAGCGCGCTTTTTTTCAGGAGCCCTAACCTGCTTGCGCACTGACCCTTTCTCCAGCGCTCTGAATTCCTCCGCGAGAAGTCCTCTCCCCTTGCACTGAACGGCAGCTAAACTTCCTCTCCCTTGCATCTCAACTCAGGCTCCTGCTGGCAGCTCCCACCCGCGCCGGCTTTTCCCAGGCTGCCCTCTCGGTGCGATCAAAGAAGATGCTTGCTCCTGCGAAGGATCTGGGGAGCAGCCCTCTTCCCCGCAGTGAAGGGGTTCAATGTCCTCTCCTGGTCTTGATGAAAATGTCCTACGAGGAGAACTGCGGGCACTTTCATGAAGTGCAAAAGGTGGAAGACTGGGTTTGCGCCATTTGCCAGCATCGACTCAACGTTTATTCATTTTGCATGTGTTTGTTGGACACCTGCTACAAGTCAAGCAGCCTTCGGTGATCTACATGAACGCAACGAAATTCGGCCTTCTGAGTGTCCTTCCCTCCTTGAGGGGGGAAAGGCTGTGAAATAAACAAGGAGCAAATGAAGTTTTTAGTGCGCTCAAGGAAGACAGGTGACTGCGCTATTGAGTATGGCGGGAGCAGGGTATCTCTGTTAAGGGGTTCTATGTGTTGAGGGGAGAAAAGAGGGTGGCAGGGACATGCACTCACAGGAGGAGCTTGAACTCACAAGGATTCCAAGGAGTCCGCGGAAACCTCGTCCTGGAAAGGGTTGGTCTGGGACTGCTGGGCTGCCCGCCCTGACTTCCTCCTCTTGCTTGGCGTCTCCCAGGGCAGCGCTCTGCTAAGGGCCCTTCCTGGCTCTAACCTTCCGGCAGGTGGGAGAAGGCTCCTAACCAGTCACCTTGTGTGTCAAGGTGAGTCTGCATTCCAGACTTGGGGTAGAGATGCGTTTCTAGGGTGGTGGGCCAAAATGATGAAAAAGGACTTCGGAGCTACCTAGATACCATCCACCTTTGGGGCTGACACCACTCGGGCTGAAGGATGAAGAGGAAGAGGTAAAGTTATGGAGTCCTGGGCTGGAACGGGCCTGAGAACTGGAGCCCACAGGTAATGGGGTGCCTCCTGCCGCTGCTGCGAGATCTCTGAGAAGTTCCTCCGCGGCGATTCTGGGAATGTCGAAAGAAGCTGCAGGCAAGCAACGGACTCCCCAATAAAACGTCGAGAGAAAGGGCGCGCCTTTCTGGCGCCCTCTAGTGGCAGACTTCCCTGTGGCCGCACAGGGCCGGTGGAGTTCTGGAGGGGCTTGGAGAAACTGGGTTACCCGAGAGCTTTACCCATGATGGCCTGGGGGGATCCCTGAGAAGACGCCCATGCTTCTTATTAGCAACCTGCTTGCTATCTCATTGCCTCGGCCCAGACTCAGCAGAGGTCAGTGTGGAGCAGTCTGGCCACCCATCCCACCATGCCAGGCACCTCACCGGGTGCAAGGGCCTCTTCTTCTGGGAACCTCCCAATCTGAATGAATGACATTGAACTGGCAGAGCTGCATCAAGGTGGCAAGCCTGCTCTCCAGGCAGAGGGACCCTGATGCAACCTCCCTGGAGGCTGGCACAGGGTATCAGTGGGTGCTATAACACCCCCATGAGTTCCTCAGGAAGACTGGAAATCTGAGACCCAAAAGATGGTACCCAGAAGGCCAAGGACAAGGGCCTACAGGTAATGGGATACCACCTGATGCTGCTGCTTCTGTGGGGTAGAAGTGGCAGAGCCACCAAAGTAGCCCACCCTCCCTGTCGGGAAGCAGCCTGCCCAGCAGACAGGGCTGCAGGAACCTTCTGGGGTCCCCACTAGGGTCCCCCCTGCCCTGCTCCTAGGCTCTCTGGCTTTACTGGACCTGCCCCCAGCTCATGGCTTTCACTCCAAGCTTGTTTCAAGTAATTTATGTAGCAGACTTGGCAGTACACATCTGTAACTGGAAGCTGAGGCAGGAAGATTGCAAGTTTGGAGGCCAGCCTGGCTAATTTAGCAAAACTCTGTCTCACAATAAAATTTTTGAAATGGCTGGGGATGTAGCTCAGTGGCAGAGGGTTTCTCTAGCGTGTGTGAAGCCCCAGGTTCATTTCCAAGTATGGAAAATATGAAACGAAGTTGCTTAGCCTGGGGCTGGGGTTATAGCTGAGTGGCATAAGTGCCTGCCTGACAAGTGCAAGGTCCTGAGGTTGATTCCTGGTTCCCAGTTCCCTTTATCATTTTGCTGCCCTGGCTTTGTGTTCTCACAATACCACTGCTGAAAACTTCACTGAAGGCTGTGACCCAAGGCACGTTCTTCTAGACCTGTGGACTTCCAGGAGCGTGGGCTCTGTCACACAGGTCTGTTTCATCTGAAACTCTCTTGGCATCCAAGTAATAGTCTGCAGTGGGCAGGAGCAGCCTCCTTCTGGTAGTGGGGTGAAGGACACATGACACTGGGAGTTGCCTCTTGCATTTTAACCTGGGATCTTGAGGGGTATGGAAGAAATGGCTTTTTGTGCAGTGGATGGGAAAGACCCACCATGGCTGGCAGCTGGCCTGGAAAGGGGGCTCCAA